CCATCATATAATATTGTAATTATAACATGAATGAAAACATTCAACAAGCTTTATCCATAAACACCCTCATTCCTCTCATTTCAAATTTATTTTTCCAAAACAATAATTTCTTTCGATCCCGCAATATTCTCACGGCAACATAGCCACTAACTAAGCGAGTTAGCTTCACTAACTACAGAATAAGAAATCAAAAAATTGGCTGAAATGAAACTGAATTGCTTCGTTTGAAACAATCGAGTCAATTGTATAGATTCATGACTTTATATTAAAAAGCTTTAGAGTACAATCTGAATTACTTACGATTAAGTTTGCAAAATATTCATTAATAACTTGAATATTGCTCTGCAAATGAGATTCTATTCTTAAACCAGCTATACGGTTGAATAGAAAAGAATCATGGATTCAGAAAACGAGTTTTCAGAATATTCGATTCTATGTTACCTTAATCGATGCTTCACACAATCGTCCATCAGGCATTTTCTTCACTAGATTCATATTTCGTAACGCGTTCATCGCACGCATAAACGAAATATACTCCATAAACTGTACGTACGCTTCGAAGTAGATCTCCTGCAGATGCTCAAATTCAACTCGACCATTCGGTATACTGACATCTTTTGAAATTGTTTATTCACTATTTCCAATATCAAATTCCATATCAATTAGTTCCATGCGATGGTTTTTTTGAATTTCATTTTTCATATAAATTAGTTCTATGATTTAATTCATTTCATTGATGATTTGATTGATCTTCTTTAAATTCATATTCCTCATTATGCGTTTGAATTAATTATGAAATGATTCAAATAGCATATGGTCAATATGATCCATCACTGACCTGTCCAAACGAGAAGCCGCTCACTTGAATACCGGAGATGCTTGATGGCATCTGTTTTCGATATGGATCACATGACGGGATATCAACACAACGTACTCGACCGAACTGCTCGAAGGTCTCTTTCAGTAACTTTTCACTTGGCAATACACTATCTTTTTTGCTGGTGTCCTTAAATTACGAAGACAACTTGGATGATGTGAATAAAACTTGATTTTCGCTGAAGTACCACAGAATATTTTTCGTGGGAGTGAACAACACCTTGTCCAAAGTCTTCAATGTTTTCGATGTCTTATTATTCGATAGGACGGTAAATTTCGTGCACATTAACTGTTAATTCTCTTGAATATCATACTATCATGAGCCTTATCCATTCATATTAGCTAGTCATATCAACCAGTTCGTCTTTCTCGCTCTCCTCTGACCTTTACTAGACAGCTCAAAAATTTATGGTGATGATGGTGACCTTAAACCAGTTTGTCGGAATTTTCGCTAAATAAATCGTGTCCGGTCNACCTGCAATTTTTTGCTTTCACATCACTATTATTACTATGACTTGTTATTACTGTATGATTATCGCTGTCGTTATTGATATTCAAATTATGATTTGAAATGTCTAAAATTGTATGTTCTGAGATTGGCATCTCCATGATCTTATTTCAAGAAATATTAGCAAATAACTGCATTAAAATATCAACTTTATGAAGCATTTTCCGATTCGGTAATTCTGCTTCAAATCGAACCATTTCCATAGTGCTCAACGTCACACGAATCGACGATAACTGCAATGATAACAAATGAATTCGGATTGCCCATTGAACTAGCTGATGAATCTTTTCATTGGCATTACTATCTGTTTGCTTGTTATGAAATTCTTGTATTTTGCTCATCTGATCACTGACCATATTAAAGAAATCAAAACTGATCTTGAAAGGCGTATGTTTCCAACNCATGTAAGCATTCGATATACATATATTTACGTGAGTGTGTAATTACCTGAACAGGTACAATAGCTTTTTTGATTTTTTCCATTAGGTCCCAATTCGATATGGACTGGCCGGGCTGCTTAAGAGGAGGTAGTGTCAATGAGATATTCAAACGTGCACATGGCCTTATGTATAGTCCAAGTGGCTCATAAAATGGCTCCAAATCGTTTTCAGACTCATTCATGATATCCTTGGTCGGTCGTTGGTTTGCACGAAATTGTTGACGATAAGCGCTTCAGATGATTTCGCGGTTGATTTCATCTATCTGATCATGGGGGCACTCGGAATTGTCACGGAATGTTCACACACAGATGTAGATTCGATGACCTCAACAAAAAGACGGCAGTAATGGAACATTCCGAATGAAATGTTGATCGATATTATGATAACGATTTTATCACTGTTAGTGATAACGACAATGGT